CTTTGTCTGGCAACTCTGCACATGCACACACTGGAAACAGGCTCCAGCTGTTCGTCTGCCTCACTGATGTCTGCCTCTGAAAGCAGCTGATAACTAACATATGGCTCTGGCCCCCTCTCTGCCTCTGACACAGAACCCTCATCAGAGCTTTCCCCAGAGTCAAGGACTGGCCCATGTTCCTCCCCAACCTCCTCATTGTCCGAATCTGTTGCCAGCTCCACTGGTGGGCCACAACAACTGTGGAGGAGCAGCACTGCAACAGCCAGAACTTTGAGAACCAGTCATAAGTAGCACCCATTCAGCACCATTGTAAATCCAATAGTCACTGAAGGAATGTCTGTTAAACAAGGACCACTTGCATAACAGAGGTTGGCAAATTATACCCAAAAGACATGCTTTGCCTTCATAGTTTCCAATGCTGTTGTATAAATGCAGCTTTGCGCTTCTGATGGGCCGCCCATGCTCTTGGCCGAATGAGAAGAAAGACACCGGACAAATGCTTTCTCGGGATGAGGGCATCGAAAATACCTCACAGTCCTCTTTTATTAGGTGCAAACAAAGAGAAGGTGTATACAATTACATCAAGGGACATATGATTAACTAAGTCCAATAATAATGTTGCAGCGTGGCAGAAACCTCAGAAGAAAGGTGGGGGAAAAGGTGAGGGGGGAAGAGATGAGGGATACACGCACGGCCCACATTCCTGTGTCCGATTGAGGTACTTGCTAATTGACATGCCAGACGCCAGCGCATCTTAGCTCGTAGGCTGGTACAGATCTGCACGTTAATTAAAAGAAATGCTATACATATTGCTAAAAGGAATGTTATGCATATCCTGGTACGGTCCATCCCTGTGTCTGTGTTTTCAGGCAGCCTAAACTGCCCTGCACATACACACACAGTAATGGATCCCAACATATAAACTGCACAATTGTTGATGAAAAAGCATGTTGTTTGAATCAGAAATGCTAGGAAATGCAAATGAAGAAGCAGCATGGTTTCCAAATTTTGTACATAAGGAAAATAAATGATGGCTTGATAGATTAGAAAGTAACACAATTATCTCCAAACTGCTTAATATAGTTGTCGTCGTACACAGTTACATGCATCTTATCTACTGTACTTCATTGTTCATTTCAGATTTATTTTTATGAAACAGTATGTCAACATATTCAAGCAGGTGACTCCTGTGAGAAGCTGGTGGGCTACTCTGCGGTTTATCGAGTATGTTTTGGAACAGCGTGTTTCTTTTTCATCTTCTTTTTACTCACAATTAACATCAACAATAGCAAAACCTGTCGTGCCTACATCCACAATGGGTAAGCTAGATGGATTTTTTTCATTGATGTTTTGGTGGGGTACTCAGTGATAAACAGTTGAATTTCCTCACCAATGTAGTGACATAGTTTATCTCTTCTTTATTTGTTCTACTGATATATACTTTCCACATTTTTTAATTTGGTCAGATATTAAAGTACAGTATAGTAATTTTATTTCTTTTCTTTTTCCTGTCTATTTTTTCTTTTGCAGATTTTGGTTTATTAAACTTCTCATCTTGGCAGGAATGTGTTCAGGAGCCTTTTTCATTCCCGATCAAGATACCTTTCTTAAAGGTACATGTTTTAAAAAAGAATTGTCATACGTTTTTCTCTACAGTTGAATATATACAGGTATCATTTTACATTGTAGGAAAAGAGCTGGAAGGATTATTTGGCACCTGTAAAAGTGACCGTTTTGGAAAAACAGAATCTTTAATAGCACCAGTGAGCAAGAGATTTCTTCATTCGCAGGCATCAAAAGATTTAGGCAATGAAAACTTCAACCATCATATAATTAACCTATTACAATTGTTAATTGATAAGATACTCGTTATGTAACTCACATATAATTTGTTTACTCATAATCACCCTGCTTCCCCTTTTTCTCCTCCTCTTCCACTTCATCCTAACTAAGTGTTTCTCAACATTGGCCATTTTAAAATATCTGGACTTCAATTCCTAGAATTCCCCAACCAGTTATGCTGGCTGGAGAATTCTGGGAGTTGAAGTCCACACTTCTTAAAATGGTCGAGGTTGAGAAACACTGCCTTGAAATTCTACATCAGTCTAGCCACTATATGCAGCTGATAAAAGTGAGGTACAGCTTACCAAAGGATATGCCTTCTAATACATTTTTAACAGAATATACAAGAGTGCTACATTCATTGAAAATTCAGTCTTTCACAACCATTGTAGCTGTTGAGAGAAACCGCTATAGAATGGTTCCTGTTTACACCTGTCCGGTTTCTTTCTAGAAAAATGAACAGAAGTGGGCATCTGTACTTTAGACAAAGACATAGCAAAGGGGCGATAGGATTGTACTGTGTTTCCCCAAAAATAAGGCCTGCCTCAAAAACAAGCCCTAACCCGAAAATAAGCCTGGGAGTATGGGCGTGGCCAGCAGCAAGCACGTAGACCCCAATGGTGTCCAGCAGCAGCCACAGCCCAACGGCCCCTTGACATAGTGCAAACATCAATACATCTGAGTGTGGAGGCGGGGGAGGGAGCCAATCCAGACATGCTGAACAGCTTCCAGATTCACAGCAGATTCATGGGAAGCTTGCATGGCGGCGACAGAGACAGAAATGGGGGAGGAAGGTAATCCCAACACCCTGTGCGGATGCAAGGCCAGCAGCAGCATGGCCACTTGGGGGCCACCCCAGTGCCTGGCACTGCTAACAAGTGTCCCAACAGCAGGGCAAGTGGAGGGCATGCCAAGATCTTGGTTCGTTGCAGCTCCGCACAAGCAGACAGTGGGACGGATAGGGCCGGGGCCAGTGATATCTGTGGTCCCACTCCCGTCGGCCCCCGCACTTGCTGCACTTTAAAAAAATAAGACCTTCCCAAAAATAAGCCTGAGGCCTTATTTTCAAACTCCAAAGAAAATAAGATAAAATAAGAAAATACTTTTAAGGGAAACACAGTAGAAGAATGCAGATTAAATCAAAATTGCACACTATTATGTAGATTTAAAGTTATATAAAAACTGCCTTGGAAATTATTGTTTTGGGATGATTTTTTGCAGAAATTGTTGCTTTTTATGGGGTTTTTTTTTTTTGCAAATGTAGTACAGCTGTTTTCCTATATTCAGCTCAGTTTAGTTAGAAAGTAATTGTGAAAGGCTCAGATACAAGAATTTTACAGATCTGGATTGATTTTGTATACTCTTTGGATTGTGTTCTGTTGTTTAGACTATGAAAAATAGCTATGTAGAAACATCAATGTTAACATCTTAGAGCATATAGTTAATCCTCCTCCTCCTTTAGATAATGGTTCAGATGATAATGTTTCTTTCTTAAATGTGAAAACATTAATCTGGTGAACTTAGATCATTCCAGCTGCAAAAATGCAGCCTCATATTTATATATTGTGCCAAACATCCAAGAAACTTGCAGAAAACGCTGGATGCTGCAATTAACAATGCAGTGGTGTAGCATTGTTTAAAAAACAAAATTATTTCATAATTTTGTCTTACCTAATTAAGCCATTCTTAGTTTAAAATAACTTTTCTACATACATAGAACATCACTTTTTCCAAGTTGTTTTTCAGTAACAAATCTTGCACAATTCAAACGGGGCTGTACAATAAAAGGCCAATTGTTCAAGGAATTAAAAGCCAGCTTCTTGTTTGCATTGGGAAGGACATGGGAAGTGGGGGAGAGGCTGAAAGGAAGACGCTGCAGTGCAGAAGGAAGATAAGGCTAAGAATCTGTTGAAGGGAAAGTTGATCTTCCTCAGCTTAAATTCCTGCCCCTTTCCAGAAGTGTGCCCTATTTTAGCAAGGAAGCTGCAGACACAACAGCTTCTCAGTCTGGGAAACAGCATTTTAAAGATGTTCCTCAAATAAAATACCCTGTCACTGCAATGCTCATTCGGAGCTGAACTGTATAGCTTGCGGAAATTAAGCTTTCAATTAGGTCCTGATGTATAACAGTTGAAGCAAACTGCATTTGCTTTTCTAATGGGGTAGGCCAGCAGCCACTGCACTTAAATTTTCCTGCAGTTTAATTAGTCTTCAGTTTGATGACATTTACCATGCAAAATGAGATTTCTTGCAGAGCCTCCATTTTGTTACTTAAAAGAATCCCTCTCTGTACTAATATCCGATAGCAGTTCCAATTAATCAAGGCAATTTGCTAGTGACAAATGCTTGTAGAAGGCAGAGTCCAAACTCTGGAGGAAAAAGGAGAGAGCTCTAGGACACGTGCAGCACAATCTTGATTTTGGGATTTTATCTGTTTATCAAGTTTGCATAGCCACGCAGTTCACAAAGAGTGACCCTGGGTGGCACACTAACATTTAACAGTGTTTTTAATTAATCCATTTAACATGATAATTATGATCATAAACCTTTTTTCAAACCGTTTCTACTTTTAAGTTGAATAACTGAAGAGAAGTTGCAAGATACTATCCTTGCACTAAGATGTTTTAATTCAAAGCAAGCAGGTTTTTTTTTTCCAAATCTGAGACTTGTAGCTCTTTGAACACTGAATTAACTTTCAGTTCATTTCTTTACGTATTCAATTCATTGCCCAGCATCTGGGGAGCAAGCCCCTGATACTAGCAGAGCAAAAAATACCAGCATTCATTATGAATACTCCCTACTGAAAGCTTTCTCCCTCTTATATAAAATTATAGGTCATAATGTCCTCTAGCTAAATACAGCCAGCAGTCCAACCATTCCCTGCATTCAGTTGCTTCTGTAATTGCACTGGCACTTCTTGAATTCTTTTCAAGTGTGACATAATGTGCATCGCCAATAGCTCATGCAAATTTTATCTGTAAGCAGGAGCTGCTTTAATTGTAGAGTGGCTTTCTATTACTTGGGTCTGTCCAAATGTATTGAAGGCAACCTCCAATAATTCTCTGCCAATGTGGCCAAAACACAACATATTTTAGAGGCAAAAAGAAGGCTATTACAGATTGTCCCTTTCTATGTTTTCCCCGGTGAATAAACTCAGAGAGTGGACAATGAACTTCATTATGAAGATGGAAATATATTCACGATGATTTGAGGGCTTCATAAAACAATAGATGCTTTATTTCTGTTGTTTGGATGGCAACGCCTATATGTGTATATGTTGGAAAATTTATCAAATTTATCAAATTTTAATCCCACCCTGTAATTTGGAATGTATTTATATAAAGACTTTTTTCAGGATTTCATTTTTTAATCTTTTGTTTTAAATATAAAATGCCTAAAGTAGATTTTCTAAATTTTTCTGCGGTTTTGCAAAATAATTTAATTTGCTATAGGGGTGTGTCTATGTGAGTGTGAGTATGTGTGTGTATTTGTATTCATAGCATGTGTTTTCTCAATAATGAATTGAGGTCCATAATACATGGAAGTAATTGCTACAAAGGAGTATAATTTTGTGAAACATTTTTGAGAATGTATGTATGTATCAGTGACGTGCAGTCAGAGAGGCAGGGTCTCACCACTGTCATCATGAAAAGAAAAAAAAAATTAAAAGGAAAAAGGCTGAGGTAGTTGCTGCCAGAGTCACAGTGGATGACTTTGCTTCAGAACCGAGGTGGCGCAGTGGTTAGAGTGCTGTACTGCAGCCACTTCAGCTGACTGTTGTCTGCAGTTCGGCTATTCAAATCTCACCGGCTCAGGGTTGACTCAGCCTTCCATCCTTCCGAGGTGGGTAAAATGAGGACCCAGACTGTGCGGGTGATATGCTGACTCTGTAAAC